CACATAAAAATGAATAAATAAAATAAAGGTCTTGTGTCCAACTTCAAATAAAAAATAAATATTAAAAAAAGAATGTCAATTCTAGGCCCAGGCTTTTAAGAAACAGATATGCCTTCTCTGTGTTTTCCCTCATCTTCTACCATATGAAAAATACAGCATAGCCATAGAGTTAAGCAAAGCAATATAATGTATCACTGCATAGAGAACAGCGTGCAACCCAAACACACCATAAATTTAATTGTTATGGGAGTAAAAATAAATTCCTGTTTAAATATTTAGCATCTAAAGTTTGGAAGTTCATTTGGACTATAAATAACTTTCTCCTGAGCAATTCAGAAACTGTTATCTTAAGGTACTGGCCTAAACAGAGATCTAAATATGCATTGGTATATTTGTCAAGAGCAGGCAGCAAGAGAATACATGTTTTGGGATGGAAAATTTAAGGTACATGAAAACAATGGCAAAACATTTAATAAAACTGTGGTCTGAAAAAGCTTGGAAAACAAACCATATAATTTTCAAGCTTGCATCTCTAGGGAAATAGCGTACGAGGAAAAAAAAAAAGTAATACTGTGTGTTGGGTTTTATTTGTACTTAGAGGTCTCAAGAAAGTAATGAACTCACATGGAATCTACCTAAGTATCCATCTGTCAATGGATGGAATATATAATGGACTATATTTGGCCTTAAAAATCAAGGAAATCCTATCATTTGCAACAACATGCATGAACTTGGAAGTCATTATGCTAAGTCAAATAAACCAAGAACAAAAAGATAACTGCTGCATGATTTTACTTTTTTTGTGGAGTCTAAAAAAGTCAAGCTCATAGAAGCAGAGAGAAGAATGGTGGTTGCTAAGAGAAAGGGTAGGCAGCAACAGGTAGGCTGGACTAAGGATACAAAATTTCAGTTAGAATGAATAAAATTTGGTGATCTATTATAAAACATGGTAACAATTAATAGTGATACACTGTACACTTGAAAATTGCTGAGAGTAGATCTTCAATGTTCTCACCACATATACAAAAATAATAGATTAGTTGAATTAAATCATTTAACAACATATATAATATATAGAGAGATAGATAGATAGATAGATAGATAGATAAAAACATCAAATTGTACCACAAGATAGATAAAAATTTTTACTTGTCAATTATATGGAGAAATGAGAAGCTCAGGAAAAGAATTAGTATGAGTAGAGAAATGAAAGGAAAGGTTATAGCTAATTGAGGTACTCAGGATCAGGAAAAGTGAAAGCCAACTGCTTCTGAACTCCAAAAGACTTTGAACAAAAATGTGATAAAAGACTTTTGAGTTAAACAAAAGGACTAAATCCTAAAACAAAGGTCAGATTAAGGGAGGTAACTTCTAGTCTCTGCTTCAGATGGCCTCAAGTGCCATTCCCCCGTGGAATATGTAATACCAGGTGTGTGAGAAAACTAAGAGGTTTAAGGGGACCAGAAATCAACCATTAATATTCCATATATCTTTTAAATTTTTACTGAAAGTCAGTATGCTTCTCAATTCCACTAAAATGATTTCCTTTCTCTTTTAAAGAGATAAAGGAGGGCTGGGGTTGTATCTCAATGGTACAGTACTTGCCTGGCATATGTGAGGCCCTGGGTTCGATCCTTAGCACCACATATAAATAAATAAAAAATCTGTTGACAAGTAAAAATATATATACTTAAAAAAAGAGAGATATAAAAGGGAGCTGGATGCAGTGGCACATGCCTGTAATCTCAGCAGCTCAGGAGGCTGAGGCAGGAGCACTGCCAGTTCATAGCCAACTTCAGCAACTTAGTGAAGTCCTAAGCACTCAGCAAGACCCTATCTCTAAACAAAATATAAAAGATGGCTAGAGATGTAGCTATATGGTTAAGCTATCCTGGCTTCAATCCCCAGTACCAAACTAAAATAAAATAAGACCCCTTCTTCATTCCTGAAAAATTCTCATTTCCTCCAAATATTTCAGGACTAATGAATAGAAGTAACTTATTTATTTGAATGTTTAGCACTGAAAGGAAGGAGAAAGAGGGGATAATAGAGATCAGAAAACATGGATTAAGTAGCATGTTTTTGTTTTTGTTTTGTTTTTTTAAGAGAGCTTTCCAAACTCTGTTTTCTACCATTTAGATGGGGTTTAAAATTTTCAATTCAATTTATAAAGTTGACCTAACCCAGGGATATAATCAATATATAAAAGCAATTGGAATCCATTATGTAAATACAAATTTATAATGTTTATGCCCAAAAGAAATAGAGCCAATAGTTAATAAAATTAGAAAATCAAAGAAGGTATTAACCTTATTAATTAAGTTTAAATGAGATCAGAAAGGTGGGACATAATCTTATAAGATTAGTGTCTTCATAAGAATACAACAGAGAGCTCAATGTCTCTGTCATCTGAAGACACAGAGAAAAGAAGGTTGTTTGGATGCTAAGAAGAGGCCCTCATCAGGAACCAGATTAGCTATAGCACCCTGATCTTGGGATTCCAGTCCTCCAGAACTATCATAAAATAAATTTCAATTGTTTTTGCCACCCACACAGTGTAGGTAACAATTTCAAAAGCATGTCCCTAAATAATTGTAATAACACCTTCATAAAAGTCTAATATGCCCCTAAGAGAATGACACAGTCCTCACTGAAAACTAATGTATGAAGTAGATACCTACAATACCCAAAAAAATATGGAACACACACAGGAGAAGCCAATGATTCAGGATGCAGTAAATGGTAGGATAGAAATGAGACTAAAAAACTAAGTATTTATGAGAGAAGCTGRTTAGTACGCCTCCAGAGTAAAGAGAGTTAAATTTAAGCTTAAAGAATAGATAAATACTCGGAAACTAGAAAACTTAAAAACAGCAGCAGCAAATACAACAAATATGGAGAAGTAGGAAACATAAAAAGAAGGATGCTCAGGTGACATTATCCTTAACATATACCCTGTATTCCAACTAAACTAATAATTTTCTCTTTTCCCCCAGGACATTGTACTAATTCAAAAATTTCAAGATTTCTTCATATTCCTTTCCTTCTGGAGACACTCCTGTCTTTATTTTACTTTTTCCATGCTCAATGCTGTAGATTTACTTATATGAAAATTTACTATAATATAAAAACCTATCTTTCACACATTCACTGCCCTCTTCAAGTGAAGCCCTAAAAGTAAAGAATCCATAGGAGAAAGTAGAAGGTAAATAAAGATGGATTGAAGGGTAGTTCTTGAAGCACTACACTTGGAAGTGTTCCTATAACCTTATTTCTTTCTTTCTATATTTGGTTTACTTGCTTTCTCCTAATCTACTCACATGATTCACATATATTAGGAATATATACTATAGGTCAGTATGCTAGATACTAGCAATTATCAATAAAAAGATCAATAAGGTCCAAGCTATCCTGGCACTTACTTTTTAAAAAGATGCTAATAAGGAAATAAATAAATGTTAAACTATAAATTACAGAAGATTATTTGAATGAAATAAACAAAGATCTTCTCTTAAAACAACTAAGGAAGCCTCCCCATGGATCAATGCAGGACACTGAACACCATACATATCAGTGTGCAGTGTGCCCATGGGCATGAGTATACACATTCATATTACACATATCAATGCATTTGTGTATATGTGTATTTATCTATATATGAGTGAATAATCCTACATAACAAAGATGGGTCTGGACTAGGTTAATTATGCCAGGTCCACACTCCCCTAAGGACAACCTTAAACAAGGAACAACCCTAGGCAAACACTATGTATGGACAGCCCTTTCTATATTTGCTATATGTATAGTCTATACCAATCAATGGCTCTCAAGTGAAAATCTTTAGATATAGGTGGAAAGAGTACTCCATAAGAATCACACAGAAGCTTGTTAAAAATGGGAAATTCCAGTCTCCAGGCTCAGCAATCTCAATTTAGTAGGCCTTGAATAAATTATTATGAAGTTCTACCTGGATGATTCTGACACTAGTAGATTTTGGCCCCTTGTCAGGCACGGCCTTGCCTCATGAACTGTTCAATATTTATTTTGTCACAGCCAAAGCATGGCAAAGTAATATGCTATTCAGTATCARTAAGCACAAAATAGTTTTCAGGTAAAATAAATACAGCTATTAAAATGAAATCTGTAATTTTTGTTTTGTTTTCTCCAAGTATAATAACACTTATTATTAAAAAGCTTTTACTTAGGGACAGAAAAGGAACTGTAACAAGGTACTTCTCAAAATGTAGGACATGGACTTAAGTGTTATGGCAGATGATTTAAAATGGTACCCCAAATGGTTTTAGATGGAACATAGGATTATTCTAAGTGGTACATGGATATACCTTAAATAACACTGACTCACAGGAAAAACTGCATTATCTTTTAAATTTTCTTTCAATCAGAAATCCTCAGCTATTGATATGTCTTTTACACCTCTCTATCCATTGCTTGTCTCCTTTTAAGAAATAGAGAGCATGCCTTCGAATATTTGGCAAACACTAATATCTAGCCAGAATTTTGTAGTGTTTTTCTGTTCTACTGCATTTTTAAGGCTATAGTCCATTGCTGATAAAGCATTAGACACTGATTTTTCATTTGTAATAGTATGGTAAATAAAAAGAAAGTAAATTTAAACCAAATAGAGTAAACTGAATATAGATGTTACAAAAACTATAGGGGTATTTGTTACTGAGGTTGAAATTTCTTCTGTTTGAAGTATTACTAAAAGTAACAACCAATTTCTCTTTCTCTGTCATGCATAATAGTTAATTCAAATGAATAATCAAAAAGCACAAAATATTGGTAGGAAGACATTCAGTGAATGGCCTATTGCACCACTTGACAGAGCTGACAAAATAATGACTTTCCATTATATGGCAATGATTGAGTTTGCATTTTTACTAAATTGATATGATAATCCATGTCTGGCTGTATAGATCAAAAATATGCTGTTGTCTGAAAGACAGGACAATTGCTATTCTGTAATTTATTCTACACACCTTATAATCCTTGGATCTGCAGCAGCCAAGATGGGAATGCTCTGAAAAAAGGATGTACAAAAGAATTAAAATTCGACAACAATAAAAAGAAAATTTGGTTTCATCTTTGATTTTTGCTATTATCATTGTTTGTATAATTATAATACACAGAGAAGATTTAGAAACACTTTAAAACACTTCAACAAAAATTCTTTCAACAAAGTTATATAAACAAAGATGATGAGGAAACAAAAGAATTTGTACCAAGTGATTTCACAAATGCTATTTCTTAAATATGTGAATACAAACAGGAATAATTTTTAATCTGATAAGCCAATTTATCTAAACAAAATGAATAATATTTATTTGATAAACCAGTTTCTGATTAAATACCATTTGTATTTATAGATTTGACAGATATTATTGAACTACATACATGAGTTCCTACTCTTGGAATCCATGCCAGATTGGAATCCATGCCAGAAATCAGTAGGCGAATCCCACTCCTTGGTATATACCCAAGACTTAAAATCAGCATACTGCAATTATAACAGCCACATCATTGTTTATAGCAGCTCAATCACAATAGCTAAGCTATGGAATCAACCTAGGTGCCCTTCAACAGATGAATACAGAAAATGTGTGCCTACTTCAAACTTTTAAGAGATCTGTCCCCATAATCCTTTTGCAGCACGCATCCACCATTATTTATCCAGTGCCCATGAAATATTTTAAGGTTGGCCTCTGCTCTCATGTGAATCTCCATCAATCAAAGGGCAATGAGTTTATCATAAGTCAATTTCTATGAACACAAGCAATGCTAGGATATCCAGCTTTATGAAATAAAGCCAGGGTTTAATTTCTCTCAGGGGATACAAACTTCTAAAAAGGAAAGACATATAACAAAGTGTTTCCTGTCTCTTGCTCACTTGTGCTTCATTACCCAAAACTGCTTATTCCACACTCTAATCTACTCATCTCTGAGTATTCAATGGGGATTGATTCCAGGACCCCCTGTTGATAACAAAATTTGTGAATGGTCAAATGTCTTATAAAAAAGGCAGAGTATTTAAATATAACCTATGCCTATCCTCCTAAATACATCTTCTCAAGATGACTTACACTATCTAAAACTATGCAAATGCGATACAGATAGTTCTTACATTATTAGAGAATAGTTATTAGAGAATAATGACAAAGAAAATCAGAACAGATTCTGTTACAGACACAATGTTTTTCTGCCAACTATTTTGGATCTATGGTTTATTGAACCCAGGGATGCAGAATCCATGGATACAGAGAGCTGACTGTATTTTTATCATTCTCATTCCTGTGGCTATCAAAATCTCAGTAACAAAAATGTCACTTTCCCCATTTTTTCTTATCTGAAGTGAAGCACAAAGTAGGTTTCCTGCTAACCACTAACTGGAAGAGTAATACTCACCAAAGAATATTCAGAAATGTCTTATAATTTTTTTAAAAACTCAGTTCTATTAGTCATTAGGAAAACACAAATTAAAATCATGAGATAGGACTACTCACTCATTAGAATGGTTTAAAAAATGACAACACAAATTTTTTCAAGGATACCGTAAAAATGAAATTTCATACATTGCTAGTGAGAATGTAAAATATGTGGCCATTCTGAAAAACAGCTGGCAATTTCTTAAAAAGTTAAACATAAACTTACCATATGAATCAGTAATTTCATTCTTGGTTTTATTCAAAAGAATGGACATATATCTACACAAAGACTTCGAAGAAAATGTTCAGAGTAGCTTTATTAGTAACAGCCAAAGGTAGAAATAATCCAGGAGCACAAGGAAGGAATGCAAATGAGTATAAGGAAGTTCTTGGGATGACAGAAATATTCTAAAAATGGATTGTTGTGGTGGTTTCCAACTGTGAAAATTTATTAAAAGTCATTTAATTGCACACTTAAAACAGGTGAATTTTATGGTTTTCAAATTATACCTAAATGAAGCTATTAAAAATGTTGAATAAAAAAATAAAGAAATTAAACCAAAGAAGGATTCCTTAATAAATGATACTGTTTAGTTGCTTGTGCTTTATAAGAAACCCAAACTGGAACACTTTTAAATGAAAGCTGTGACAAATGAGATTTTTTTTTAATAAGTATCTGCATTAAGACTACATGCTCTTGATTCTAAAACATTAACATATTACCATTTATTGCTTTCTAATCAAGATGTAACAGATTAGCATTTGGAATGCTATTTCTAATTTTATTTTATTTTATAATAGTAACCATCAAACAAAGGGATTAGTTCCAGTTTACAAAGGATTACAATCGTATTTAGAAATAAAACTCATTAAAGAATCTTGAAGAGACTAAGAGAACTCCTCAAGGAGTCATTGTCTCAAATTCCTAAGCAAAAAAAAAAAAAAAAGTGGGCAGGATGATGGCCCTTGATCTTCAAATACAAAAATGAAAGGATAAAACTTCTAAACCAAACCAAACATTCTTGCATTACAAGAAACACTCTGTTTCTTCAAAAGGACTATAAAAATTACAATTAGAATATGCACCATAACAATCCAAATAGAAACAGTGTACTTAAAAAGTAGGGAAAGTAGGAGAAGACTGTTGTAAAAAGAAGGAGCTTAGGCTAGAAGACCTAGTCTAGACAGCATGCTCATTTTGTAACACTCCAACAAGTCACTTAACCTCTCTAAGCCCTTGTCATTTTTCTGGTTATATTTTTAATTAAATACATCTTCACATGATTTTTATGAGGAYTCAATGGATCTATGTCCAGGAAAATAATATCCTATGAAAACTTAAGAATTACCGAACAAGACAATTTGGCAAGAAAATGTTCAGAATTTTTTTTTTTTTTTTTTAATACCAGGGATTGAACCCAGGAGCACTCAAACACTGAGCCAGATGCCGGCCCTAGCCCTTTTTTTGTTTTTATTTTGAGACAGGGTCTTGTTAAGTAGCTTAGGGCTTCTTTAAGTTACTGAGGCTGGCTTTGAACTTGAAATCCTCCTGTCTTGGCCTCCCAAACTATGGGATTATAGGCATGCACTATGGCACCTGGTAAAAAGATTTTCTTTTAAAGTAAAATCATAAGTGAAAATTCACTATGTTTACGAGATCAGACCTTAAGAAATCCCCACCATGTACATAGTTGATATGTAAATAGGTTGAGAAACATGTAAATAGTTGAGAAAAACCCAAGACAGAAATAGCTCAGCTACCATACCCAGGACAAAAAAAAAAGAAAAGAAAAGAAAAAAAGCGGGGGCGGGGAGAGTCAAAATATAGAAGAACTAAAATAAGAGAAACAAGAAAGGAAAACTCGCCAGGCTCAGTGGTGTGTGCCTACAATCCCAGAAGCTCAGGAGGCTGAGGCAGGAGGATCATGAGTTCAAAGCCAGCCTCAGAAAAAGCAAGGCACTAAAGAAGCAACTTAGTGAGATGCTGTCTCTATATAAAATATAAAATAGGGCTGGAGATATGGCTCAGTGTTCAAGTACCCTGAGTTCAATCCCCAGTACCCCCCATCCCCCCCAAAAAAGGAAGGGGAAACTCTTCACAGTACAAAGCAAACAAATAGCAAAGAGCAATGGGAATTTTTAAAAAAAATTATAAACTGTTTTCAAGAAACAATCATCGACTTATATGAAAAAGGTCAGTGTAGAAGTTTCAAAATCTCAAAGTATCTTCTCCACAATTATAAAGGAAAAAATAGCACACCTTTATGCTGGAGAAACAGAGCAGAACCATTGGAATCAAGTGAGCAAAATAAACATTGCCAGTAACAAAGCAACACCACATACCTCCCTGATTCAATGCAATTCGAATGACATCACTTCTGTTGTATTCTGGGGAAAATAATCTAAATCTAATCATGAAGGAAAAAAATCAAACAAACCAAATTGAGGTACATCCTACAAAGTAATTGGCCCATGTTCTTCAAAATAATCACTGTCGTTAAACACAAAGGAAGACTAAGAACTGATCCATAGTAAAGAAAATTAAAGAGACAAGACAGCAGAATGCTGCCAAGGGATTTCTTTTGCTATGAAAATACTTAAGACAACTGATAAAATCTGGTTTTAGGTGGATGGATAAGTTAATATTATTATATCATTGTTATTTTCTTACTTCTGGTAATTGCATCACACAAGATAATGTCTATATCAGTCTGTTCAGCCATTCTGCTCTAACAAAATACCATAGATTAGGTGACTCAAACAATAGAAATTTATCTCTCACAGTTCAGGAGGCTAGAAGTTGGAGATCTATGTGCCAGCATGGGCAGGTTTTATTGAGATTACTCTTCTTGGCTTGCAGATGGCTGCCTTCTTCCTGAGTCCCCTTCATGGCATTCAGAGAGAAAAAACAAGTTCCCTGGTCTTTTTTTTTTTTGAAAGATAAATGAATGTTTATAATTTCTTAGCATTTCCAGAAAGGGATTGAGCACACAGAACTTGGGTCTTATTTTAACAATATCAGATTTTTATTCTCTGATCTTTAGATTTAAAATCTATGAACAGGTAATTCAACCATGTACAACAATGTGTTTTCTTCCCTAATCCCTCACATTCATTTCCCTCTGTATACTGCAGCCACCTTGACTGATAACCACATGATAGA